TTTTGTTTTTTAATTTCTTTTTGTTTCTCTTTTTCTTTTTCTAGAATCTTTTGATATTCATTTTTATGATGATTTTTAAAATGAGTTTTAAGATTTGAGACTTGAGTATTTAATTCATAAGAAGCTTCACATATATTACAAACAAGTCTTGTATTATTTAAATTAGAATGAAAATAATTTCGAATTTCATGAAAGTTTCTCATTTTGTTTAAAGAATTTGTAAATTTTTTTAAGTTTATTAATAATTTATATACATTTTTTTTTAACACGGAAAAACTCAATTATATTTTAAAATTATTTGATGTTAATCTTTCTATATGTAGTAAATTGAATTTATCCTAATGTAGACGTAAACAGATTTCCAAAAGTAGAGCAAACTCTTGTGAGACAGATTAACCAAAGGTAGACTTTACTTTAAATTTATGTGATTCTAAAAGATTAACCAAAGGTAGACTTTACTTTACATTTATGTGCTAAATAGGATTTATCCTAACGTAGACATAAACAAAATTCTAAAAGTAGACTTTACTTTAAATTTATGTGATTCCAAAAGATTAACCAAAGGTAGACTTTGCTTTAAATTTATGTAGTAAATTGAATTTATCCTAACGTAGACAAAAAATTAAGTCTTTAAATTTATATATTTAAAAAATTATTTCATATAGATTAACTTAATGAATGTAATCTAAAAAAAAAGTAATTTATATTATTTTACGAGATGAATTTTACAAGACTTAGATTTAAAAATCATGAGTGAATTTTATCTATAAAAAGGCATGAAATTTGTCTTTGAGTTAAAGCATCGAATCTCAGGATTTGATACCGAAAGCATTACTCTTGGAGTCAGCTTTCAGAAGAAATAATTAAAAAATAAATTATTTCTTCAAGATGAAAAGAGATATTGTTACTCACTTCGTTAGATTTTCATCTATTAAACAGAAAGAATATCATGAATCATTTATTGTTTTAAATAATATATCATGGCGAGATATAGATTTTGATCGATCATATGTGATCAAATATAAGAGAAGAGAAAAAAAAATGAAAAATTTGATATGCTAGAGCATTCTGAATGTATTCCTTATTTTGATTTTTTTAAATGTAAATATAAAGAACAGAAAGAATTTTATCCAAATCTTTGGCAATATGATAAAGGACATAATAATCGTTTTTGTCCATTTAGACAATGTCTTGAATATTTTAAACTTCTTCAGAGTGTTGATAAAACTTTACCAACAAATGAACGTTTAGGAAATTTGAATAAGAAAGGTTCATTAATGAAATTTAAAAAACTTTTTCGTAATTTAAAACTTAATTATGATATTTTCTTTTGGGTTAAGAGTTTTAATCTATCAACTATAGCTATTTACAAGAATGAAGTAACTCTTTTACAAGAATTTAGACAGATAATCTTAAAAAGAAAAAAGAAAAAAAAGAAAGATGAAATTGTTGTGATTAATGAAATTGAGAAAATGCTTGATAAAAGAATCGAAGAGGTTGAAGAATATCATTTAAAATCTCCTCAACTAGGTCCTACATCTCCTATATATATTCCAGCATCTCCTACTCAGTAATTTTTTTTACAGAGTAGGATTTTTTAGACGTAAAACAAGATGATTGATTCTACGATTGCAAGTATTTTATCTGGAATTATTGTCTTGATTTGTGAACTTTTGAATGCTATAAATCAAAAATATTTACAAATTTCACAACC